CTCTCTCTCTCTCTCTCTCTCTCTCTCTCTCTCTCTCTCTCTCTCTCTCTCTCTCTCTCTCTCTCTCTCTCTCTCTCTCTCTCTCTCTCTCTCTCTATCTCTCTTTTCCTCGCTTTTGCTCTCTCTCTCCATAATGCCCTGTACTATACGAATCTCTGCGCGTTTCCGACATATCCGCTGACGTCCTGCGATCGTTGCTTCTCGCTTCAGGGTGCAGTACTGCCCGACAGCAAGGAAGCGCCTCGCCGCCGCCGCCGCAGACGACCCTCCAAGCAAGCAGCCGAGACGGCCGGCCAAGGTCACGCCGAAGGTCAACGCCACTGCCGCCCGCCACGAGAGGGCACCGGCTGCGATGGCCGCGTCGGGAGGCGTGCGTTCGGAGCCAGTGACAGCGCGGGCGCAGCCTCCCGGCGTCGTCGTCGTCGGGGGCGACGGCGTCGCGGATGCTGCGGCGGCGACGGGGACCATGACGACGGAGATGAGGAAACTGCTGAAGAGCTTCAGGTTGTCGTGCACGAGGGAGGATGAGGCCACGAGGGAGGATGCAGCCGCAAGGGAGTGTGCAGCCACGAGGGAGGATGCAGTCGTGAGGGAGCGTGCAGCCGCAAGGGAGTGTGCAGCCACGAGGGAGGATGCAGCCACGAGGGAGTGTGCAGCCGCGAAAGAGGATGCAGCCACGAGGGAGGATGCAGCCGCGAGGGAGGATGAGGCCACGAGGGAGGATGCAGCCGCGAGGGAGTGTGCAGCCGCGAGGGAGTCTGCAGCCGCGAGGGAGTGTGCAGCCGCGAAGGAGTGTGCAGCCGCGAGGGAGGATGCAGCCGCGAGGGAGGATGCAGCCGCGAGGGAGTGTGCAGCCGCGAAGGAGTGTGCAGCTGCGAGAGAGTGTGCAGCCGCGAGAGAGCGTGCAGCCGCGAGGGAGCGTGCGGTCGATTCCCCATGCGTGAGAAAGCCAGTTGCCGGCTCGCTGACCTCGAAGGACTGCGCGGTACAGACGCTAGCTCTCAGTGCGCGCGCAGTCGCGGCGTTTGCCGCGAGGGACCCAGGCCAGAAGAGGCATGCCGGCATGGGGGCGGCCGCACGTAGGAACGCGAGTGGCGCAGCAGAGTTGAAGGAGCCCACGTGGTTGGCAGCAGGTGTTAGTAAACCGGCCAGTGTTGTACAGTGTGTGAAGGAGTCTACAGGCATGGTGCAGCATGCTGGCAACGCGTCTGGCAAAAAGGAGTCTGCAGGCATGGTGCAGCATTCTGGCAACGCGTCTGGCAAAAAGGAGTCTGCAGG